CAATCGGCAGAAGTAATTCCGTCTTACCCCCTTAATTACGGCTTATGCATCTGTAATTAGCCTGATAACTCAGCCAGAGAATTGGATATGTACTTGCCTAACGACCGGATTTCGATTTCTAGCAGTAGCAGGCATTTTTCTCTCTCTTGTAACCAGTTCCAAGCAAGCCGTGCGCACAAAAGATATTGAGAACCACTACAGGCATATGAATCCGATAAATCAGCTCTATCTATTGCCAAAGTTACGAATTCGTGGAGCTGTACTTCATTCTCTTGTAGGCTGTAATGGATTGCAGATTTTGCGTAAGGACTACGTTTAGCCTGTTATAAGGGACTAGACTCTGTGATGCTGCGAAGCGGGTGTGTTCGTCCCAAGGGAAGAATTAAAAAGATAAAAAGGAGGTGGAAGATTTTCTTAGATCGAAAGAAATCTCCATGCTGCTGTTTAGCGAAATGCATTCATGCGTGGCTTGTACATGTATTCGGCCTGTAATCTCTCCGTCAGACAGAAAGTGTAGGTTTTGAAATAAGACGTGCCGAGAATTTATTGCGTAATTCAATGAAATACGGAACAAAATATGTTTTTTTTTTTCAAAAAGAAGTAATTATAAAACTTTTTAAAAGAAGCTTTGTCTCAAAGATGTATAAAAAGCGAGTCCTTTTTGTATAATAATTTAATTAATATTTGTTTACAGAACCCATGTCTCTACAAAAGAGCTCATGAATGCTTAAAGAGGAATAAAACAGATACAGCTACGAATTCCAGCCTTTGGGATGAAGGAAGAAAGGCGTTGGATCTAGGAGAAAACTTTTAATATATGTAGATTCATGATTTTGATACTTGTTTATATGAGACTTTGCCTTTCATATTGAAGGAAAACAAAATACATATTTTAGATTAAAACATTATCGTCATCATTGTCATACACAAAACAGGCCTTTTGGAACAGTAACCTTCCATATAAGATTCTGTCAGATTGCATCCGATGGTCACTTATTTGAATTCGCGAACAGTTTTTGTTTCGGAGAACGAGGTCGTGTGTCTTGCTTCCAAACTACAGACTGTTTATATCCTCCTGAGACATGGTTTCCTAGTTATATCTCCAGGGACCGGGTTCCGTTTTCGTAGCCTTTTACGAATCGCAGGGCTGCGGTGGAGGTATTGTAACCCGCCTCCACATGGGGATTTAAATTAAAGTACTTGGGAATATATTTATATTTATGTTGTCACGTATATGAGTGGCTATATACTGGATTTGGATTGGTAATTGGATTCACTGAGCACTTACATATCATAATTGCAAGTTACGAGCTACTATAGCGTTATCGCTAATTCACACACTCCGCATTTCACTACCGCACGCACTAGATCTTTTCAGTCTGCTGTGTCATCCCCGGTCATTGTGTGGCAACGGTTTCAGCTGCGGAGGTTCTCCTTCCTCTGAGTTTCCGAACTATCCCCGTGAATCAGCTACCAGCTTCTCACAGCAACAGCTCACGAGGACTGAACCGCTGCAGTTATCTAACTCCCTCACGAACCAGCTCGCTCCACTCAACTCCACTGCACTTCACTGCATTTACCGAAGAGAACTTGGTCGGTCGCGTGATATAGCCTCGGAGAGGATCACATAAAAACACCAATTCCATCAGTAATTTCACTATTGCGCGCGGGCAGCTGCCTAGCAAAACCCGTTTCTCGTTTGTGTCGTGATCGTTGCCTAGCAACGGGTTTATATGCCACAATATCTTATCGAAAAAGTGGGAATTGTATAATAAGGAACTTAGCTGTATACACGTTAGGCCACCCCATAGCTCAAGCGGTTACTCCCTGGCTTCCCACCGCGGCTGCCCGGGTTCGATCCCGGGTCTGGTCAAGTGGGATTTGTGGTGGGCGAAGTGGCGCTGGGGCGGGTTTTCTCAGAGTACTTAGGTCTCCCCTGCCAATTTTCATTCCACCAAATTCTCCATCATCATAACCACCTGGGACAGGCTACAGTAGGCCAATCAGTGGCCGCCGTGCCGAGTGGACCCAGTTGGACTCCACCCCTTACTAAGCGAATTAAAAAGAATTAGCTGCATACTCTCTCCCAGGTCAGAAATTAATACCGACGTACATCCAATTTAACTGATAGAATAGAAAGGCGAAAAGAAAACTGGCACGAGAATATTTTAAGAATAACAGCAGATAGATTCCCAGAGACATGCAGACGTCATAAACCCAGAGCCAGATGGGAGGTTGTATTCTCTCGAAGTTGGAATCAGGCCAGTGGCTTTGTGTAGATGTTTTGCTGACATCCGTGGCACAATTATCTTCCACTTCTGACTGTACTCCTCAATTCCGTGAATAATATTCTCTTCCCAAAGTCTCTGTCGAATAGTCACATTCTGTACGTGGTCTTTCCATACTGCTCGAACTAATGTCCTTCGGAATCCTGTTTGTAGCGTCTTACTTCGTCTTTCTGCTGCTTTAGCCAGGGTTTCCATTCACTGACCTACAGCAGAATTCGGCTTACTGACCACGTTATGAAATTCTTCCTCATTTGTTATCCAGCACCCTGTATTGATCCTACTTTTCATCAGTTCCTTTGTGAACAAAATCATTGCCGAGCCCGTGATAAGTTCAGTCAGTGTTGTTAGGTATATTCAAATAAGGGCACGCAATGGGTTGTCCATGCGCTTAGGGCAGAGCTGACAAGACATGCATGCAGATATTCTTTCTTTCCTTTTGGTGGCAGCGTTAGTGTAGTCGGTATAGTCACTGGCTACGGGTTGGAAGATTGAGGGGTCAGAATTCGAATTCCGGTAGGGGCAAGCATGTTATCCTCTCCATATTACCCAGACCGGTCCTGGGGCCCACCTAGTCCAATGAAGGTTCTTTTTTCCGTGGTTTAAATAACAGGAGTTTGAAGCTGAACATTTACTTCCAAGTAGTACAGAGGTCAAGAATACATGAATCTATACCTCCACTCCCTCATACATCTTGATGGCGTAGTGCTTAATCAGTTAAGTACGGGGACAATTTCATAATTTTACCTTTCACTTGTTTTTGTGGGGGAAATCTCTAAGGAAAGGGCCGCTTCGAAGGTCAAAGAAAGTAATCTGAATCTTACAGATACAGCTGAAAATGCGACGCTAATGAAATGCGCTCAGGATCCTGTGTTACCAGTTTTAAACCTTAAAATTATGCTGTTACCTGATCTGATATTACTTGGTCTGTTATGTTAAGGTGGATACGCGCGAGTGTAACATGTAAGAGATTAACGAAAAATTGATAAAAATTTGGACGGTGAACTTAAAGGAAGATATAACTTTGGAGACATAGGCTTAAATCGGAAGATAATATTAAAAATATTCCAGGAAAGCAATGAATCAAAGGTTAGAAGAGATTTAACTGTTCCAGGCAGAATCCATTGAATTTCTCTTGAGAACACCGCAATAATCCTTGGGTACTATAAAGGCAGAAAAGTTATAGTATTGATGGTCTATCAGTTTTACATAAAGATCTTGAACTATAGAATTACCTACAGAATAAGAGCAAAAACATAAAGTTACCCATTTGCTTGCATTAATTAAGCACCACAACATAAAAACGTCTGATGGAATGAAGATGTAGCCTCAGCACTACATGGAGGTGAGTGGTCAGCTTTGCAGTTCGGCCACGCTACTTCTGAGGAAAGAGTCCCTGTTACCCTTTGTACTGGAGACTGGATGGGCACGAGAGCCTGTCTGGACGCTGTGGAGGAGAGAATTTCTTGAACCTCGGACGTCCAGCTCGTCCCACCTCGTATATTAGCTACAAAACAATTACTAAAAATTTGAACTAGCATTGGTACATTTAATTGCTTCGAGTCAATTAACAACCAGGAATAGACAAGGTTAATTACTGAAAGAGATCTGGCTCCATAATTTCGAAATTACATAAAACTTTTCAGATTCTTAAGCATTTTTGTTTCTTCGCTTTGTACTCATATTCTGGTGGCAGAAAAAGACACTGAGATGTTACAGTATAGGACGCATAAAATCATATATAACGAAACAAAAAATATTTCAAATAAAATAGGCTGATCTTACTACTATTATATATTTTGTATTGCATATCGATACTTTGTGCTAAGAATCTTTTGCATTGAATCTGAAAAGTTCTATATTAATCTCCATTAGTATCAAGTTTACATGAACCAACAGTCCTACTGATTGTTTCTCGTGTAGACCAATATTGGTCACCGGATTTTTTTTTTCAATTGACCTAATCCTTCCAGCCTCGCTGTCGCCCTGCGGTCGACTCAGCTTCTAACAGAAATGAGTACCAGGAATATTCTTGGAATATTCTTGGGAGTAAAGCCTGACAACATTACCTCTATCTAGGAACCGATTGTCTAGAAAATGTGGGAACCTTAATATCTCACAACCCCATGGACCTCCACGTCCTGTTACAGGGTTACTTGTACTTTACTTTTATTATTATTATTATGACTTTATAGCCTTTGTTGAGCCTTGGCCGCTTTTTCAGTTTCTTGATTCTATACAAAGTCGGTAGGACTCTTGGACGGGGGATCAGCACGTCGCATGGCCGCTGCCTACACACAGAACAGTACAAACAGAATAAACGCACACAATACATATATCCATGCCTTGAGTGGGATTCGAATCCACGATCCCATCTTTCGAACGAACGAAGACAGTTCATGCTTCAGACCACACGGCCACTGTGATCGGCGGTCAGTGTCTATAAGTACTAATAATATCAATACTTATATTTTCTGATTATGCGAAGAATAGACGTCTAATGGCAGTATAAGCCCTAACAAAGTGGGATACTACGCGAACATTCAGTTGTTCGGATAAATATGCTTCCTCCACGGAAGCGATATGTTCCTCCGAAATGTCGTTTGACTTTACTAAAATATACGGGTTTCTATCCTCGAAGATGAAACTTTTCAGAGTCGCTGCGCTGGGAACTTCTAATTCAACATATTCCTTAATAAATCATTTTATTTTCAGGTCCCGAATTTATGAAGTTGAACGAAATTCTGGTTCTGGCAGTGCAAGATTGACACCAGTTTCTTGTTCATCTCTTCCCAGGAAAGGTGAGTTATATGTTTTCATAAAAAGTCAGTTAAATTCTTAATTTTTAAAGTGTTTACTCAACAACAGCAAATCACTTTATATATATGTTTTACACGACAGCCTAAAGGCCAATTTGAAATTAGGAACAAGCAAAGAGGCAAGCAAAACAAGCACAAAAATAAAAAGCAAAACAAAATGTAACGTGTATCTTTTAGACAATAACCATTCAATATGTGGAATAACATGAACCATGCTGCAGTGAAAAGATTATATACATATACATACTTACAGACACACACACACGCATATTATTCATGCATACAACAGATATTTTAATAATTAATAATTCAGAGGTAGCAATTATGAAATATTATTAAAACAAATAGTTTTGATTCCAAATAAGGTCAATGACCGTACAAATATTATCAACTAAAGAGCAAGTATCGCAGTGTTTCCCAACTTTTTTGGGGATCAAGCCCCACCTAAACACTTCAGAGATATTGACTCCCCCTCTAGCATATCAGCCAAGTTCTGAAAAAGTATAAAAAAAACAGGTACTTTAAATAAAAAAGGGAACATATGTAAAACTGTTTTTAATTTGAATTTCTTCAATCAATGTAAATTGTATACGAGTATTACACTCTGTTTATTTATTTGTTTTTTCCTTGGCACTACATCTCCAGTGGGCCTAGGCCTACCTCCATGAACTTCTCCGTTCACTTCGGTTTCTCTCGATCTTACACATTCGGTAGGACTCCTTGGGCGAGTGATGAGCTCGTCGCAAGGCCTCTACCTGTAGACAAACACAGAAAAACGCACACAAACATCCATGCCTTGAGTGGGATTCGAACTCACGATCCCGGCTTCCGAGCGAGCGAAGACAGTGCATGCCTTAGACCGCTCGGCTACCATGACCGGCACACTCTGTTTATTATGAAACGTAAATCGAACTCAGCTCGGGAAAATGAAACTCAAGTTAATGTGATCCTTGAGCTTGATGCCCGCTGCAGAGAGTTTTCATTTGAGGTACTAATTTAATCAATTTCAATCTCGAACCCTCACTCTTTGTGATATCCAGACGATTTCCTTTTCAGTAACAAGTCCTTTACAGCACTAAAGCCACATTAAACTAAATATGAGGACGGGAAGGGCAACAGTAATTTTCTTGAAGAACTAGTTGAATTTCGGTATTTCGTGTAACACGTATTTGTACTGCTACAAACTCATATATTAATACGTGTAATAAATGGAAGTCGTTTTCATTTGATGCTCTCACCGTGTTGTCAGTAGGTAACCATCTCTTACAGAGGCAAAAATGATGTTTCACTAGCAATTGTTATATGTATCCATCTTACAGGTGAGAAGCTGGGTAAGATGGGTTGTTACTCTTTGTTTATTTAGTCACCCTTGTTTATGGATGTACTGTTACATTTTGACGTTTATAGGTTACATTCGGTTTGATGTTTAAATATCAGTCCAGAACCTTTTGTCTTCTCGTCTACTGTCCAAAAACATAAAAATTAGAATATACAAAACTGTAATTCTGCCCATGGTTCTGTGTGAGTGTGAAACTTGGTCTCTGACATTAAGGGAGGAACATAGACTGAGGGTGTTTGAGAACAGGGCGCTGAGGAGAATATTTGGACCGAAGAGAGATGAAGCGACAGAAGGTTGGAGAGGACTGCATAATGAAGAGCTTCATAACTTGTACTCTTCTCAAAGTATAATTAGAAGGATTAGGTCAAGAAGAAGGAGATGGGCAGGGCATGTAGCACGAATTGGAGGGAAGAGGAATGCATATGGGATATTGATGGGAAAGTCAGATAGAAAGAGACCACTGGGAAGACCAAGGCGTAGGTGGGTGAACAATATAAGAGTGGATCTTAGAGAGATAGTGTGGGATGGTATGGATTGGATAGATCTGGCTCAGGATAGGGACCATTGGACGGCCTTGTGAGCACGGTAATGAACCTTCGGATTCCATAAAATGCTGGGAAGTTCTTGAGTAGCTGCACGATTGGCGGCTTCTGAAGGAGGGCTCAGCTCCATGAGTGAATGAATGAATTGGAGAAATAAAAGTATACCGCAAACACTTTAAAAGTCAACCGTCACTAACAGAGAAAAAGAAACAACGAAATATAAGAGATTATGTTTATGTTTTCAACTGTCAAACGAATTCAATACAATTTTGAAAAATTGTTCATTTTGTTTAAAGTGATAGTAGCGCAACTTTTTGCTAACTAGAAAAGTAACATGTAAAAATGTTACATAAGAGACGCCAGCTAGCTTAAAAACATTGGAAATACATAAGAAATCAAACAAACTTGCCTCGTTTCTACAGCAAAATCTACAGAAAGTTAAATTGGGGCTATTTACTTTTCAGAAATGACAGTTTCTGTGATCTAACTTTAAATCACATACCCCACGAAGTAAATTATATTGACTGCTGTACTAGTGTTGCTAACTTTTTTCCTCGGAAAGTCAGGGTTGCAACATCGATAAATTATCGCCGACAGTGGTGATTTCTTGACAATATTGGTGATTAGGTGACGAATGAAACATCATTTTCTAATTTCCTTCCAAAATATTCAAATTACCCCCCTCCACCCGTGCGTCGTAGACCCCACGTTGGGAAACACTGGTCTGGCAGAAATACTGTTTTTACTAGAGGAGCGGGCCTCGAACGTGGACAGTTCTCTCAAAATCCTATCAGTAGATCAAGATCAAAATTTACAAAACACAATGCCAGAAATTACAGCCAAGGTAGACTTGAATAAGAACCATTGCATCCCCTTAGGTAATAAATTCAATTTTGGGATCCTTCTTTGGAAGTACGCCGTTCGTATCTCGGCAGGTATATTGGCTATCCTGATCGAGGAATTTCATTTTTTCATCAGTCCCTCCATGCAAATGCTGGTTTAATACCCCCATTAGGTCATGGTCTCTTCCTTCAAAAATCCTTTTTAATTTATCTCTCCTCGTGCCATTCGACGTTATATAGTCTAGCTATTTATAGGGCCGCAAAATAATCCACGAGAGATATAAAAGGTGAAAAAGGTAACGTTGTCCCTGTGCTAAACTAATTAAGCACAACGCCATGAAGGCGTGTATGTATAATTGCACATTTTCTTGACCTGGGCACTAGCTGGAGGTGAGTATCCACGAGAGGGATATTACAACAAAAAGAATATCGTTTAAATAGGAATAAATGTGCTTCTAGAAGACATGTTTACAGTTACATATGTGGAATCATATGCAAAATAATTAATTAGCAGTTAATTAAGACGAATGCAGTACATGAAGTGAGTGTTCAGCTACATTCCCTGGCCACAATACCATTTGAGAAAGAACCTCATTTACCTAACGGATAGGAAGCTGGGTGGGCCCCAGAGCCAATCTGGACGCTGTGGAGAAGATGAAGTATCTTGAACCTGCCGGGAATGAAACCTTGGACGTCCAGCCCATGGTCTGTCTGTATACCGACTCACATATTCTGGATTCTAATACAAAATAGAAAAATGTTTAATAGTGAAAGAAATTTTTGAACGGAAGATAGACAGTTGAAAGCTTCGTTATATGCATATAGAACATATCGAACGACCTTTGATGGTGGAATAATCATTAAAATCATGGATAAAGAATGGGGAACATGGAGGAATATTTAGTCCTTTCCATCTTATAGATATTGCCAAAAATAGTATAGTGTTTCTTCAGAGATATATGTATATATATATAAGATTGTGATAGTTAACGAGAATACAATTTCATTTTTC